TGTCTTCCTATTTGAACTGACTTCTTGTTACTTCCAAGCATTTTATTTGTTGTTTTTATTAGGAAACCTTGCAGTGCTGGAAGAAGAATTACGGTTGTGAGAATTGTTCGAAGTTGGTAAATCATGAACGACTGTGACTGGACTTCGGAGGAGAGTGACGACTCTGATGCACTCATACCACTGCAGCAATTAGTAATATGGTCAAGCAGAAGGTCAACCGCGTGTCCTCCACCGCCAACTGCACCATCTTATAATACACCGTACTCAGCTCTTCACCACGTACACCCCAATAGTGGTAATCAGGTAGCCACATCAGAATTCTCCTCTTCCCAGTTTTCTCTTCAGAATACCGCATTCAACCCTTGGAAATCACGAACATCTTTCGCCGGTGTTCCTCAAGATCATGTACCCAAGGACATGGTCACAGATAACTTCAGGGACCCCGGACCAGAAATCCAGAGGAACAAGGATACAAAGACCAGTGATGCTTCAACCACAGCTGTCGAAAACCCATGTTTGGAGTCCTTGACATCAGCAATGGACAAGGATCAAATTTCGCAAGGTAACAGTACCCCAACCGTTAACTGCTATCGTGAACCCGTTTCAGATCAGTACACAGGCTACGAGGAAGTAGCGTTTCACACTGAATATGGCAAGAACTACAGCAAATCTGCCGATATGAACGTTCACGCAGGGCATGTACAAAACGTCGGACATTTTCCAGTATCTTCTCCAGTGGCTAGCCTACCCGCGGATTCCGATCATCGCGATCTTGAACTAAACAACACTCATCACACGTCTGAACCTTTTTCTGAGAAAGTTTGTCAACTTCAATCTGACATTCTCCAACCAGAAAATACACTCTGCGAAGAAACCGGAAAGTCCCTTGATCGCCACCCCGATAGCCTTGATCGCGAACTTTCACATCTTGGAGAAAAGCAATATAGATGTAAGCATTGCGATCAATCTGTTTCTACTCCGTCTTGCTTAAGTTCTGATCAATGTACACATCCAGAAGAGAAATCGTTAAAGTGTACAGTGTGTGACAAAATGTTCGCCACGCAACAAAATTTCACCCGTCATGCACGACTTCACTCAGTAACGGTTAGGCAATGCGTTTCTTAGAGTTCATGAACGTAGCCATACTGGAGAGCGACCATATAAGTGTAAATCGTGCGATAAGTCATTCACGACGAAATCAAAGCTCACCGTGCATCAACGCATCCATACTGGAGAGAGACCATACGAGTGTAAATTATGCGAGAAGTCATTCACGACGAAATCAGATCTCACCCGGCATCGACCCATCCATACTGGAGAGAGACCATACAAGTGTAAATCATGCGAGAAGTCATTCACGAGGAAATCAGATCTCACCCGGCATCGACGCATCCATACTGGAGAGAGGCCATACAAGTGTAAATCATGCGAGAAGTCATTCACGAGGAAATCACATCTCACCGTGCATCGACGCATCCATACTGGAGAGAGACCACACAAGTGTAACTGGTGTGACAAGTCATTCATGAGGAAATCAAATCTCACAGCGCATCAACGCATCCATACTGGAGAGAAACCATACAAGTGTAAAGTATGTGGCATGGCATTTCGGGAAATGTCAACTCTCAAATATCATCAACGAATCCATACTTGAGAGTAACCATTTTCGTGTAAGGAATGTGGAAAGTCTTTCACTAATAAATCCAGCCTAACACGTACTGAGTGGATCCATCCCTGAGGGAACATGATCGTGTACAAGCGATTGTGACGAGATTTCAATGCGAAAATGAAACATGGAAGACCATGGAAATACAAAACACAGAAAACAGCAGTATCGTTTCAAGATTATGGGAAATGCTTTTAACCTATCAAAGAGTCTCCATTCTTGTGCAATCATGCATATGTAGGTTGGTTCTCTTCATGTTATTGTGACCAATTTCATAGATGTTGGTTGCCTTGTTGCTTTTCCTCCCCTCTCCTCTCACCCAAGCCATTCTGCATAAGCGAAGCTGTGGACGCAGCATACTGCTGCTACACTTCAACGCGGGAATGCGTATAATAATAATAAGAGCGTTAAAAACATTATTCCTTGTTTATGTTTCGAACTCTCTAACTCATTTTCTTATAGGCATTTTTGGTAACTGTTCAGTTTTAGTTATTGCTCTGCGTGCACCGTCTTATCCTGAAATTTCTTCAAACACATGTACTATGATTCTGGTTGCCCTTTCATATATCGTTCAACGTAATACGTATTGCTGAAATTTACAATTTTCCTCGTACTTTCCTGTTGTCGTCTACTTTTTTCTTGCATTATCGTTATCTACCATACACGCTGGGTGGTGTGCTAGTAGTTTCCTTTTGGTAATATTCAGTCAATGAGTTACGAGAAATTACAGAATGGAGCTGGACGTCTGTAGAATTGCGACCTATGCTAAGCACTGTAATCTTCTAGTCGTAGTGAATTCAATCGGTTTCGTAAACCGTGCTTTTTATTATAATTATTATTATCGTGATAATTGATGGAATATATGGTAGTTTCGTAGGTGTGTTGCGGTGAAGTTTTCATCTGACATGCGAGCCGATAATTCTTAGATGTGTTCATTTCTTGCTCTACTTTCGTTGTGTTTGCATGTGTGCGTGCGCTTGTCCGTTTGTGTGTATGATTGTCGCCTTGAATGTCGGTTTATTGTTCCATTGTAGGCGCATGCTGTGACGTCTTTCTCGTCACAGGTGGTCGTTGGCACTGAAATCGGCGCTATAGTTGGTTAGATCCGTTCCTCACACAAACAAGTCAACAAAGAGGCATCTTTGGAATGAGAAGTGCTGGTTTCGAAACAACTGGTTTGAAACTCAAAGTACAGCAGCGATTAGGTCATAGTAAAGCTGCTGTAAACTCAAAGTAGAGGTGCTGTTAGCTCAAAGTAGAGCTGCTGGTAGCTCAAAGTAGAGCTGCTGGAAGCTCAAAGTAGAACTGCTGGTAGCTCAAAGTAGAGCTGCTGGTAGCTCATAGTAGAGCTACCGTTAGCTCAGAGTTGAGGTGCTGGAAGCTCAAAAGAGCTGCAATGCTAAATGGATGTAATTTAGTTCAAGGCAGAGCCGCAGAAAATAGCTAGATAACACCAGTTGTGAGAATGTTTGCTCAAAGTAGAGATGCTAATAGCTAAACGTAGAGCTGCTGTAAGCTCAAAGTAGAGCTGCTGTTAGCTCAAAGTAGAGCTGCTGTTAGCTCATCGTAAAGCTGCAATGCTAATGGATGTGATTTAGCTCAAGGCAGAGCCGCAGGAAATGGGTACATAACACTAGTTGTGAAAGTGGATCCGATCAGTTCCTACCATTATTATCATGATGGTAGAATACGTTGGATAGGGAGGGATGGGGGGAAAGGAAACACTGCAGAATTATGATCTGTTGTCTGGAAGAACACAACAGGGCAAGCAAGATTTGTTTTTCTTTTCAGCAAAACGAGTTGGGTGCCATAGTTTTGTGATTATGCAGCAAAACATAGCGCATGACGTCAGTCTTGAAGACAGTATAGAGCCATGCAGTGCAGCGTGTGAGCTAGTTAGGACGAGTACTAGCACAGCTAGCACCCCAAATTTGGTGTCGATGGAATCTTTCAAAGAAGATACTGTGTCCTAACTGGCTTTTCTGACAAATGGAGAGGTGAATCCGTTGTTATATGTTTTGAGCTAACCAGGCTTTAATGGTGTTGGGGCGGCGGTTCAATCCTGTGACCTGTGACAATCGCTTATGGCCAGAGATGCCCTACAGCTAAGCACTCTACCACTAGTGGTCATCCGATCAGTGACCGTTCAATATTTTCCACAGACTTAGAAACTCACGCCTCCTGTGAATCCCCACAAGCTGGTGGGATGCAAGGAGCGTACAAGACGTTTCCTGTTTTAATTGTGCTGTTTGTACATAGCGCGGAACTCACGATATTCATTTCTCTTATATCTTTCTTAACACTTAGATCCACCGACATGGGCAACAGTTATAACGTGACGAGTTAGCAAGAGCACCACATCTATGCTTAGAACAGGGCGTGCTTTAATCGATTGTGTAACATATGACTGGTACTACAAAGACCATATCACAGGAGACCATGTAAACCTTGAATCTATTCATAGCAGACACTTTGTGTTCTTCGATTCTAACAACAACGTGTCTCAGATTGCACCACCTCTTGTCACGTGTTGCAGACTCCACACGAAGCATGGCTGATCCCATGTCAAGCGTTTAGGTGAAAAAAATATGGAAATAGAGATAGTGTGTGTGTTTGTGTGTGGGGAGGGGGGGGGGTGTTTGTTTGTGTTAGTGTGCATGTGTGTGTTTCCGGGCGTGAGCGCATGATGGGAAAAGATCATAATGTGTCACTTAAATGTAAGCATGGACTCGGATGAAGAACCAAGGAAAAATTTATAGAAAAGAAAAATGACCAAGGAATTACTAGTTACGCTATAATGTCGGTAAACGTCGGTAAACGTCGGTAAACGTCGGTCAACGTCGGTAAACGTCGGTAAACGTCGGAAAACACAGCTGCTACTGTTCACAGTACTAATATCCTAGCACAAGTTGTTTCTGCTCTATGGATTATTGCTATTGAATTCGGATACTTTGCCCTACATGGCAAGAGAATTGCGTTTGGAAGAATTCTTGAAGTAAGTGGATCATGGATGATTGTGACTCGACTTCGGATGGAAGTGCTGACTCTGATGCACTCTCACCACTTCCACCATTAGTGATATGGGCCAGCAGAAGGTCAACTGGGTATCCCCCACAGCGAAATATACCATTTTACGGTACGACTTACACAGCTCATCACCACGAAAACCCCAATAGCGGTAACCCAGAGACGACCTCAGAAGGCTCCTTTGCGAATTACGCACTTCAGCATTCCTTATTTACCTCTTGGAACACACCAACACCTACCTCCAGAGTGCTCCAAGATCATCCTTGCCTGGACACTGCAGCTGGCAACTTCAGGCCACCTCGACCAGAGTTCCAGAGAAACAAGGATACACGCGCTAATGATCCTTCAACAGCAACTGACGATAACCCATGCTCTAATCCCATGACATCAGCAATGGACAATGGCCAAAGATCGCAAGACAACAGTAACCAAACTGCTAACCATCCCGTTTCTGTTTCAGATCACTACACAGGCCACTCACACGTTGGGTATGAGTTGGAAGATGGCGATTACTCAGGCAAATCTGCCGACCTGGACGTTCACAATATCGAAAATGTTCCAGTGGATCTTAGGATGTCTATCTTATCGCACAATAATCAGCATATCTCCGAGTCTAGGTCCGAGGCAGATTTTCAGCTTCAAGCTGACTTTCCTTAGCCCGAAACTTCGCTTTGCGAGGAAACTGGGCCATCGCTTGATCGCCAGAATGATATGCTTGATCGCAGTCATTCACGTCCCTTAGAAAAGCCGTATGAATGTAGGTTTTGTGATAAAAGATTTTCTACTCAATCCAGTCTAACATCTCATGAACGTACGCACCGAGAAGAGAAACCTTTCAAGTGTAAAGTGTGCGATAAAGTCTTCGATTGGCGATCTCTTCTTGTCCGCCATGTTCGAGTTCACTCAGGAGACAAACCCTTCACGTGCAAGTTCTGCGCTAGATCATTCAGTGATAAATCCAATCATACTGCTCATGAACGGTACCATACCGGGGAGAAGCGATTTACCTGTGATCACTGTGATCGAGGTTTTCACTCCCGTTCCAATCTTAAAATTCATCTACGCATCCATACTGGGGAGAGACAATACAAGTGTAAAGAATGTAACAAGGTATTCAGGCAACCTTCACATCTCACAGATCATCAACGCGTCCATACAGGAGAGAAACCTTTCAAATGTAACGTTTGTGAGGAGGCGTTCAGAAGTGCATCAAATCTCGCAGGTCATCAACGCATCCATACTGGAGAGAAACCGTTCAAGTGTAAAATATGTGAAAAGTCTTTCTCTCGGAAATCTAATCTAACTGTACATGAAGGAATCCACCTCTGAGAGAAACAATAAAAATCTGTCAATGGTAAAAAACAAACACTTGGAAGACTATCAAAATGTTAACATTAACAAAAGGCTTCTTTTCCAAATTATGGAAAATGTTCATTATACATGTACTTGTAGGCCCTTTTTGAAATGCAAGTAGTCAAATCTGAACACCACGCAAAGGCCACTGCTTACATGCTGACTTCCATATTTGTAGCATCACAATAATTTTCATTATCATTGTTTTAGAGTTGATATATTGTACAGTTTCTAGCCATATTACTCAATGCACTTCGTACACGTATTTCCATATCTACCATTCACAAAAAAAACAAGTTGAGCTGATCATGTGGCTCGTGGTTTATAAAATCTGTACTTTTTCGCGCATTTTTACTCTTCTGCACGCATGCTGGGTATGGAACCTTTCCCTAGAAGAGACACTGTGCCGTTTTTAAGTTGGCACATGTGATGCTAAATATGTGAGATAGTTTATTCCTGTATGTAGATGTCTACCTCTGGTCTCATTTGTATAGACCCGTTCAAGTCCCCGTCAAAACATTTAAAATCTTCTAGTAAAAAGATTATCTCAATGTTCATTTGCTCGAGGGAAAGGTGGAAAGGGTAAAATGACTGTGATAACCAGGACTCCAACCTGATACAATCGGCTATGCCCAGCCATACTCTACCACTAATCACTCTACCACTACTAGTCATCCAAGCAGCGACTGCTCAACATTTTCCTAAGACTTAGAAACTCTCGCTTCCTGTGAATCCATAAAATCTAGTGGGATGTAAGGAACGTACATGACGTTTAGGATTCAAATGTGGTGTTTTTACATCGTGCGAAACTCAGGATATTCATGATACAAGTGCACGACGACGAAGGTTGACACTTCATCGGTGGCTTCTCAACTTTGGTTGCGTAATCTTGTTAATGTTTTGCGTTTCCTCTTGTGGTTTTATTGCACATGTATCGTGATTTGATGTGGCATTTCTAACACCTCGGAATATACATTCCGATTTTATCAGATTCTTTCTTAAAATTTAGCTCCACCTAAATTGTCAACAATTATAACGTGTGGAGGTTGCAAGAGGACCATACCAATGGTTAGAACTGGGCATAGTGTAAAAGGTCATATCACATATACCCGGCAATACCTATATTATCATTTATCACAAAAGCCGATATACACCATGCATCTATTCATAGCAGACATTTTATTATTCTAACAGCAAAGTGTCTTTGATTGCATCGCCTCTTGTTACGTGTTGCAGAGTCAGCATGAAGCTTGGGTGATCCCATGTCTCGCGCTAAGGTGAAGATAAAATATGGAAATAGAGAGAGTGGGCATGTGTGTTTGGGTTAGTGTTGGGGTGTGAGTGTGTATGTATGTGTGTTTCCGGGCGTGAACTCATGATGTGAAACTATCATAATGTGTCAGTTAAATGTAAGGGCCTAGAAATAGGCATTAACTTAAAATCGTGACAAATTATCAGAGTGTTTATGTACTTTATCGGCTAACACTGTTGTTACTGATTACAATACTTACATGTACCTCTTAACATGAGTTGTCCCTGCTCTTTGGATTATTGGTATTGAATTCGGATACTTTGCCCTTCACGGCAAGAGAACTGCGTTTGGAAATTTAGTTGAAGTACGTGAATCATGGATGATTGCGATTGGACTTCCGAGGGGAGTGTCGACTCTGACCCACGCTCACCACTGCCACCATTAGTGATATGGACCAGTAGAAGATCAACTGTGTGTCCTCCAAACATACCATATTATGGAACGACTTATACAGCTCATGAACACGCATATGACAATAGCGGTAAAACAGAGACGACCTCAGAAGGCTCTTTTGCGAATTATGCACTTCAGCATTCCTCATTCCCCTTTTCGAACACACCAACATCTACCTCCAGTGTGCTTCAAGATCATCCTTGGCTGGACAATGCAGCAGACAAATTCATAACCCCTCGTCCAGAGTTCCAGAGGAACAAAGATACACGTGCCAATGAGCCTTCAACAGCAGCTGACGAAAACCGAAGCCTGAATCTCATGACATCATCAATGGACATTGACCAAAGATCACACAACTACAGTCGCCAAGCTGTTAACTATCCCGTCTCCGTTCCAGATCACTACACAAGTCACGGGCACGTTGGGTATGGCTCCGAGGATGGCGATTACTCAAGCAAATATACCGATGTGGACGATCACAATATCGGACATATTCCAATGGATCTTAGGGAATCTTTTTTATCTGAGGATCCCAAACGTCAAAATTATCGAACGCACAACAATCAGCATATTTCCGGTTCAAGTTCTGAGGAAGATATTCAACTTCAAGCTGACCATCTTCAACCCGAAACTTCTCTTTGCAAGGAAACCGGGTCTTCGCTTGATCGCCAGCATGATATGCTTGATCGCGCACTTTCACATCCAGTAGAAAAGCCGTATAAATGTAAGTTTTGCAATAGAAAACCTCCAACTCACTACTGTCTAACATCTCATGAACATGCGCACCGAGAAGAAAAACGTTTCAAGTGTAAAGAGTGCGATAAAGTCTTCGATAGGCGACACAATCTTGTCCGTCATGGTCGAGTTCACTCAGAATACAAACCCTTCACGTGCAAGTTCTGCGCTAAATCATTCAGTGATAAATCCAATCACACTACTCATGAACGGTACCATACCGGAGCGATGCGGTTTAATTGTGATCACTGTGATCAAGGTTTTCACTCCCGTTCCAATCTTAAAATTCATTTACGCATCCACACTGGGGAGAGACCATACAAGTGTAAAGAATGTAACAAAACATTCAGACAACCTTCACATCTCACAGATCATCAACGCGTCCATACAGGAGAGAAACCTTTCAAATGTAACGTTTGTGAGGAGGCGTTCTGAAGTGCATCAAATCTCGCAGGTCATCAACGCATCCATACTGGAGAGAAACCGTTCAAGTGTAAAATATGTGAAAAGTCTTTCTCTCGGAAATCTAATCTAACAGTACATGAAGGAATCCACCTCTGAGAGAAACAATAAAAGTCTGTCAATGATTAAAAAAACACTTGGAAGACTATCAAAATGTTAACATTAAAAAAAGGCTTCTTTTCCAAATTATGGAAAATGTTCATTATGCATGTACTTGTATGCCCTTTTTGAAATGCATGTAGCCAAATCTGAACTCCACGCAAAGGCCACTGCTAACATGCTGACTTCCATATTTGTAGCATCACAATGATTTTCATTATCATTGTTTTAGAGTTGATATATTGTACAGTTTCTATCCATGTTACTCAATGCACTTCGTACACGTATTTCCATATCTACCATTCACAACAAAAACAGTTGAGCTGATCATGTGGCTCGTGGTTTATAAAATCTGTATTTTTCGCGCATCTTTACTCTTCTGCACGCATGCTGGGTATGGATCCTTTCCCTAGAAGAGACGCTGTGCGGTTTTGAAGTAGGCACATGATGCTAAATATGTGAGATAGTTTATTCCTGTATGTAGATGTCTACCTCTGGTCTCATTTGTATAGACCCGTTCAGGTCCCCGTCAAAACATTTAATTTCTTCTAATAAAAAGATTACCTCAATGTTCATTTGCTGGAGGGAAATGTGGAAAGGGGGAAATGACTGTGACCAACAGGACTCCAACCTGATACGATCGATTATGGCCAGCCATATTCTACAACTAAACACTCTGCCACTACTAGTCATCCAAGCAGCGACTGCTCAACATTTTCCTCAGACTTACATCTAGCAACTCGCGCTTCATATGAATGCACAAAGTCCAGTGGGGTCCAAGGAACGTACATGACGTTTAGGATTTAAATGTGGTGTTTTTTCATCGTGCGAAACTCAGGATATTCATGATAAAAGTGCACGACCACGAAAGTTGACACTTCGTTCAGTGGCTTGCCAACTTTGGTTACGTAATCGTGTTGCCTTTTTGCGTTTCCTCTAGTGTTTAATTGCACTTCTATCATGATTTTATGTGGCATTTCTAACACCTCATTCCGGATATATCAGATTCTTTCTTAAAATATAGCTCTACCGAAATTGTCAACAGTAATAACGTGTGGAGTTAGCAAGTGGACCATACCAATGCTTAGAACTGGGCAGAGTGTAATAGACCATGTAACGTATACCCGGCACTACCTCAAAGGTCAAAAAGAATGGTTCCACCAATTCTATATTATACATACGTTGTAACGCTGCGTTTCATGCACGTAGTTAAATGCTAAGGCAATCATCAGACAACTAATGCTATTGTCGCGGGATAGCTTGATTTAATTGTGGGGGATACGCATGGGCATGTGTGAGTTATCAATGCAGGGCATGCATGGAAGAGCGAGTGATAAGAAATATATCACTGGATGGGCATGCGAAGTAGGCGCGAACTATGCATGGAGTGTGCAGAGGCGGAGAAACCACCTTGCAGGGCAAGGGTAAGCCATGGGGGCACTGGGCAGGGGGTGTGATGTGTGGCGGTGGAAGCGCACTGTGGTGTCCACATTCAACAGCCGCGGGTATTCAGAGGATTTGGCGGTGATAATGGTAGCACGCGGTGGCTATGTCACGGCAGAGTAGGTGGAGAGGTAGAACTTGTTTTGGTGTCTGCACTTTGATACCAACTCTGACCTCATTTGGAGCAGAGTGTGAGGCGTGTTGAAGGTGATGATGCGCAACTTTTCTGCTAAACACAAGCAGCACCTTTTGGATATGTTGCTGTAGGACTTGGCCTGATCAATGACTGCCCGTTTGATTCTGTATTCCTCACCTTGGTCAACCAGCGCCCATGTGTGCTTGGATAGCTCGGTCTTGGTACGGTACTTTTCATGCCGCATGCTGGTTAGATGGTTGCCATAGCTCACCTTGAAGGGCGTCTCGCACAGGCCGATGTATTGCCTTTCCTCGCCGGTACTTGGGGTTGTGACGGAGGCCTGGTACACCGCTTCCCCCTCCAAGCATCCGCCGCCCAAATGGCATGATGGCTTGGCTCGGCAGTGCACCCTGCCGCAGATCTCTCTTCACCAGGCGTCAGTACCTTTTGGTCGTGTCCCTTCATCAGGTAGGACATGTTCGGCATGCAGGAGTAGCTCAACTTCAATGTCTTTCTGTCTAAGATCTTGTGTAGTGGCGACGCGGCAGGGAAATCCGCTGGCAGATACTGCGCTATCATAGCACAGCCCTGTATGCGGGTGCCGCGTTGGTGAATACCTCCTCGTCGCACGAGATGTCGGCCACCCGCCTATTGATCATTGCAGGTAGATTCCGGAGTATATTGGGCGGGTTGATTCGACTTGGTGTGTATGTATCTGGGTGCGTCATTCGGTTTGCGGTATGGGTAGTAGCGGTCGCTGGCTAGATCAAAGGTGACGTCGAGGAAGTCGACTGTCCTCTGGTTGGTACTGACGGTTACTCGTACGTCAACGTCTTTGAATAGCTTCGTGATTGCCTTGCGGATGAAGTCTCCCTCTTGTCCTGGAGTAGTCCTGAGCACGGCCAGTCCCGGCGCTACCTCTTTTATCATTTATCACAAGAGCCGATAAAAACAATCCATCTATTCACAGCAGACACTTTGTTGTAATATTCTAACAGCAAAGTGTCTTTGATTGCATCACCTCTTGTCAGGTGTTGCAGAGTCAGGATGAAGCTTGAGTGATCCCATGTCTCGCGCTAAGGTGAAGAGAAATATGGAAATAGAGAGACTGTTTTAAAAGTGTGTTTGTGGGGGGGGGGGGGGTTGTGTGTGTGAGTATGTTTGTGTTTGTTTCCGCGTGAGAGCAAAATGTGTGAGTTAAATGTAAGGGCCTAGAAATAGACATCAACCTAAAATCGTGACAAATTAGCAGAGTGTTTATGTACTTATTCGGTAAACACAGTTGCTACTGATTTCAATACTTACCTTCTAAAACGAGTTGTTCCTGCTCTTTGGATTATTGGTATTGAAATCGGATACTTTGCCCTGTAAGGCAGGAGAACTGGGCTTGGAAGAATTACTGAGTGAATCATGGATGATTGTTGCAGGACTTCGGAGGGGAGTGTCGACTCTGATGCACTCTCACCACTGCCACCATTATTGATATGGACCAGCAGAAGGTCAACTGCGTGTCCTCCACCGCCAAATATACCATATTATGGTACATGTTATGGAGCTCATCACCACGCCAACGCTGATAGCGGTAATCCAGAGACGACCTCAGAAGGCTCTTTTGCGAATTATGGACTTCACCTTTCCTCATTCACCTTTTTGAACACACCAATATCCACCTCCTGTGTTCTTCAAGATCATCCTTGGCTGGATATTTCAGCAGACAACTTCAGGCACCCGAGACCAGAGTTCCAGAGAAACAAAGATACACGCGCTGATGAGCCTTTAACAGCAACTGACGATAATCCATGCTCTAATCCCATGACATCAGCAATGGACAATGGCCAAAGATCGCAAGACAACAGTAACCAAACTGCTAACCATCCCGTTTCTGTTTCAGATCACTACACAGGCCACGCACACGTTGGGTATGAGTCGGAAGATGGCGATTACTCAGGCAAATCTGCCAAACTGGACGTTCACAATATCGAACATGTTCCAGTGGATCTTAGGATGTCTAGCTTATCGCACAACAATCAGCATATCTCAGAGTCTAGGTCTGAGGAAGATATTCAACTTCAAGCTGACTTTCCTCAGCCTGAAACTTCGCTTTGCAAGGAAACTGGGCCATCGCTTGATCGCCAGAATGATATGCTTGATCGCAGTCATTCACCTTCCGAAGAAAAGCCGCATAAATGTAAGTTTTGCGAAAAATCATTTTCTACTCGATCCAGTCTAACATCTCATGAACGTACGCACCGAGAAGAGAAACCTTTCAAGTGTAAAGTGTGCGATAAAATCTTCAATTGGCGATCTCATCTTGTCCGTCATGTTCGAGTTCACTCAGGAGACAAACCCTTCACGTGCAAGTTCTGCGCTAAATCATTCAGTGATAAATCCAATCATACTGCCCATGAACGGTACCATACCGGGGAGAAGCGGTTTAGCTGTGATCACTGTGATCAAGGTTTTCACTGCAGTTCACAACTTAGAATTCATTTACGCATCCACACTGGACATAGACCATACAAGTGTAAAGAATGTGGCAAAGAATTCACAAAACGATCAAATCTCACAGGCCATCAACGCGTCCATACAGGAGAGAAACCTTTCAAGTGTAACGATTGTCACGAACCGTTCAAAACTAAATCAAATCTTGCACGTCATCAACGTATCCATACTGGAGAGAAACCGCTCAAGTGTAAAATATGTGGTAAGGTTTTCGCTCGGAAATACAATCTAACAGTACATGAAAGAATCCACCTCTGAGAGGAACAATAAAAGTCAGTCAATGGTAAAAAAAACCCACTTGGAAGACTATCAAAATGTTAACGTTAACCAAAAGGCTTCTTTTCCAGGTTATGGAAAATGTTCATTATACATGTAGGTCCTTTTTGAAATGCAAGTAGTCAAATATGAATGCCACGCAAAGGCCACTGCTTACATGCTGACTTCCATATTTGTAGCATCACAATTATTTTCATTATCATTGTTTTAGAGTTGATATATTGTACAGTTCCTATCCATGTTACCCAATTCACTTCGTATACGTATTTCCGTATCTACCATTCACAAAAACCTCAGTTGCGCTTAACATGTGGCTCATGTTTTATAAAATCTGTACTTTTCCGCGCATCTTTACTCTTCTGCACGCATGCCGGGTATGGACCCTTTCCCTAGAAGAGACGCTGTGCTGTTCTGAAGTTGGCACATGATGCTAAATATGTGAGATAGTTTATTCCTGTATGTACATGTAGATGTCTACCTCTGGTCTCATTTGTATAGACCCGTTCAAGTCCCCGTCAAAACATTTAAAATCTTCTAATAAAAAGATTATCTCAATGTTCATTTGCTCGTGAGAAATGAGGAAAGGGGGAAATGACTGTGTCCACCAGGACTCCAATCTGATACAATCGATTATGCCCAGCCATACTCTACCACTAATCACTCTACCACTACTAGTCATCCAAGGAGCGACTGCTCAACATTTTTCTTCAGACTTAGAAACTCTCGCTTCCTGTGAATCCACAAAATCTAGTGGGATGCAAGGAACGTACATGACGTTTAGGGTCTAAATGTGGTGTTTTTACATCGTGCGGCACTCATGATATTCACGATACAAGTGCACGACGACGAAGGTTGACCCTTCGTTCAGTGGCATCTCAACTTTGGATACGTAATCTTGTTACTTTTGCGTTTCCTTTTGTGGTTGTATTGCACCTGTACCATGATATTATGTGGCATTTCTAATACATCAGGATATGTATTCCGCTTATATCAGATTCTTTCTTAACATTTTGCTCCACCTAAAGTGTCAACAGTTAGAAGGTGTCTAGGTAGCAAGAGGACCATAGCAATTCTTAGAACTGGGCATAGTGTAATAGATCATACATAACATATAATCAGCACTGCCTATATTATCATAATACTCATAACAAGGACACACTTCAGGCTCATTACAAACATCTTGAAAGTTTTTGTCTTCACAAGTATACTTTCAAGCCTGCAGAACTTGACATTTTACTGACCCGTCACTGCCATCCGAAGCATAGCAGGAGCACGTCGCTCCTTCTACTCGGCAAACCCGAAAGCACCACCCCTGGTCAATACATAGTATTTCACGAAATCTACCCCTCATCCATTGAGCTTGATTGGGCTGTGGAAGATTGTCCCTGAAGAGCAGCACTATAATTATAGTACTCTCCAGGCACAAACATCACCAGGGATACAAACGTATAGGGACGCACCATTTACAGCCCCACAAACACACACGTCGTGAGGCCCCAGGCAGCAGCGAAAGTCAGAGTCGCTTATGGAGGTGCGCTAAATAGACGCTGAGAGCCTGTGGCTATTCACAGCGCCGACATCTCCAACAAACACATATCCTGTAATAGCTATGAAAAGTATGAATGCCGCAGACATCACCACGCAACATGACAATTTGTTCAAGGTTTGGTTTTGTGTGTTTCCAAAATCGATTTTCAAGCTCCGATCATCAGTGGGAGTTCCGTATTTCCACTGATGATCGGAGCTTGAAAATCGATTTTGGAAACACACAAAACCAAACCTTGAACAAATTGTCATGTTGCGTGGTGATGTCTGCGGCATTCATACTTTTCATAGCTATTATTAAACTTTTATCTCCACGTAGATTATTTACATATCCTGTAAGTAGCGATTTCGGATCGATTAGGAATCAAACGTTTCACTTAAAGTAGTGGACACAGCATCCACCGTTGTCTTCAGATCAGCATTTTAAACTTCTTTCGGAAATAATAGTTGCTTCGTGTAGTATTGGCTTTGTTCACTTATTACAACTAAAATGTGTAATTTAAAATAGCAATGCACAAAACTAATTGTGCACTCATAACCATGTACGAAACAATGAAAATGAAACAATTTCAGAACGTTTTCTCGTGACTATGTTCAGCATATAATGTAACTGATCATTACCCCCAAAAGAACTTGTTTGCACTCAGGATGAGTACTAAGCCAAATGCACATCCATTGCGTAGTAAGCAAACGTAACAGTTGACCTTTATGATTTAGCTCACTTCCTCAGGCTATACTACTTTAATATGAATGCAGAGTGCGCCCTTTCCATCCAGTCGCCCTCCATCCCTGCAGAAGAGAAAGACGCCTACATCCCACCGCTTTGGACGCCTTTACACTTTTTCACATGGCCTGGTAACTGATATACGCGCCAAGAACGAAACCTTGAAAACTAATAATAATACTAATCATAATCTTCATGGATGCAGCTAATGGGATTTCGGTCTTTGACCACTTGGTGGTGGGTCTGATCTACTCACCTCCCACCGTTTAGGCGCTGCATCTGCGCCTTTGATCCTAGAGGGTGGTGGCGTTCCCACGGCGGATGCGGAAAACTCGGCTTCCAGCCGAGTCTCACGCGAACCGTGAAATTTATTTTTTAATCTTCACTAGTTTGAGGGAAAGAGACCAACGGGAAAGTCTGAAGAAAAAATTGACTGTCACCACCAGGACTCGAACCAGGGACCCTCGCTTGTAGCCAGCGATGCTCTAACCACTGAGCTATGGTGTAGTCGTCATCCCAGCAGAGACTGTTCAACATTTTCTTCAGACTTCGTAACTCAAACTCCCTGTGAATCCACACAGGCGGGTAGGACGCAGCCATCACTGTACCCACACACTTCACGTACTACACTAATCATAATATCGCTACAAAGACAACTAATTGCACAGTAAGCATTTCATTATGTCGACATGTATGTGTAAAATGTTGTACGATTATCGCAAGGCACACAACGAAAGGGACAGCGAGGATTTGTTCAGAACTGTTTTCTTGTTACAATCATCAGTGAATCTACGTAACAATGGAATGGTGACTACTTGAAACTAATCTTATATGGATAGATAAAAGTGAAAGAAGGGGAAAAAGAGCGAAACAATAAAGGTGATAATCGTACAACATTTTACACATGCATGTCGACATATATGAAATGCTTACGGTGCAATTAGTTGTCTTTATAGCTATATTATAACTTCTGTCTCCGAAACGCTTGTTCACTAATAAAATTACAAAGAAGACAGAATTTAGACATGTGTCAAAAAGTATTGAACGTTTTCGTTCCCTTCTTCTCAAAATACTACAGGGAATGATGAAAATATGCTAAGAGACTACAGCTATAAAGAATAGAATTTCCCAGATACATCACTCCAGTAATTTGTAGAAGTGACAAGGGAAAAATAGATGTGAATAGTCAAGAAAACAGCATGCATAATCCAATCAGTGACAAAAACGACAAGAAAAAGAGAGAAATATCAAGAGATTATGGGATCTATTTCGCACCTTCACGACGAACAGTGCCAAACAACTGCAAAGAAAGAACATTCTCCTTCTGAACACACAGCTCAGGTCCTAACTAACATAATATGTACAAAGCTTCCAACACGGCAAGGACATTTTCTCTCTTTTTCTTGCCACTACGTTTTGTCGTTGTCCTTGAAATGAAAATGTATTTTTGATCAGTAGTTGTAACGCTCATGCTGAACAGCTGCTTTCTGTTTCGTAATTTTTCTCATATCTCTATATCTGATATTTGGGTTGGCATAATTTCTCCCCGGTCAGATTGTTCCGACCGGAAAGGGTGGTGGAAGGTGTTTACATCTAGATACGTTCAAGCAGCATGCATGCCAGATATCTTTTACTAGTGGTGTTTGTACATAGTGGACAAATCAATATAGTCATTGGGTTGAAATCTTCTGAGGAAAATTGGTTGCTCCCCACAACAGAGCTCGCGCTTTCCACCGACTGACTTGATACCTGGCTAAAGAGTGGTGAAATTTTGCAGGCTAGCTTGATTCGAAGTTTCGGTTGACTTCTTGTGTGATCTTGGTGGCAATCATGAGTCGATTAAAATCAAGTCAGTAGGCGTATAGAGCAAGCCCCAGTATGAGCAAAAAAAACTTTCCATATGAAGTAATCGCCGAAGTTGCTAACAGTTATCCCCTGTTGGTATCTTCGTTACTTCTGTCTTCACCACAACGTGCTTCACCAACTATAGCAAGGACAATAACACGGGAAATACATGAGCTGTAGTTTTAATTTTCATGTTTTTAGTGCGCACGCAACACACTCTTTTGTCTTTTCTTTGCGTGAACAACTGTAACTTGATAAAAGAAAGATGATATTCAATGCATATCAGTGCCGACAGCGGAGGTTAATGTTGAAGATCATGACATTGTCACATCTTGTAAACCCTTCCTATAATATCTACCTCGACGCTAAGGAACCTCCATAAAACTGTGTCTCAATTCATATATATTTTTAGCAACAAAGACTCTCTGTTGAGATTTCTCAAGTCTGGTGCGTGCCATGCATGTTTCACATTTTTCAATTCCAAATGAGGTGTGAAGGTAAAGACGAAATTTGAGAGATAGTTCATGGTGGGGAATTTTGTACATGTATGTGTGTGTAAGTGTGTGTTTGTGTTTCTGCGCGCGTTACATGACAAGAATTATACACAATGTGTCAAGCAAAGGGACAGTGCTAGACATAGATGTGAACTATGTTGACGTGTCGACTTGGCGCACTGTACATCTACTTACTATGGGGAATACCAGCTGCTATTAATTACAAAACTATTGGCTACGACCAGGAAGAGTTGCCTTCCTATTTGAATTGTTGATATTGAATTCGAATACCTTGCCGAATTTGGAAGGAGAATTAATTTGAAAAGGTGGTGAAAATTGGTCAAGGAAGTGAATCATGGACGATAGTGGCTGGACTTCGGAGGGTTGTGTCGACCATGATGCACAATCACCATCGCCACCATTAGTGACATGGACAAGCAGAAGGGCAGTTCCATCGCCAGCTAAATTACCTTACAATGCACTTTACACAGCTCTATACCCCGCAAACCACGATAGTGGTGAACAAATAGCGACCGCACAGGTCTCCTATAGTTCTATTCAGGGTTTTTCATTCAGTCCTTGGAACACACAAACGTCTTCCTTCGGTGTACTTCAAGATTATCGGCTGAACAGGGTTGCTGACAACGTCATGGACCCCCGACCAGAAATCCAAAGGGCGAAAGATACAAAGTCTTTTGAAGCTCCAGCCACAGCTGTCTTAAACCCATGTTTGGATCCCATGACATTGGCAATGGACGACGATCACTGTACGCGAGACAACAGTAAAGCAACTGTAAACTATTCCGTTCCCGTTTCCGATCACTACACAGGCAGTGGGAACGTAACGTTAAACTCGGAGTGTAGCAATTTCTCAAGCAATGCTGGCAATGTTAACGTTAA